CTTACTGTTTATTTTTTGAAATTATGTATTATTTCTACCCTTTTCTGTTTTGCTTTTTTCTCTATAAATAATATAACTGCAGCAGTCCCTCAATTTTTGAAAGAAATTAAATTAAAAAATTAAGTTAAAATAAACTTTTTACCATATACATGATTTTAAAATTCATAGTCTAAAGTTGTTAAACATCATGCTTATTCAGAGCTATGTTCTTGTAACTTTTCTGGGGCCAATGTTTCAATTATTGCATGTCTAACATTTCACCTGAATCTCATACATTCTAAACTTAATTCTTCTTGATTATTATGCCTTGTTACATCAAGACATCAGTTTACCCAACTTCTGATGCTTTGCAGTTCCATTCATAACCCCCAAGTTCCACACTGTGTTTAAAATGGAAGTTTCTTCTCACATTTCATTCATAATATCCATCATGAAATCCACACTTATTAAAAATCAATTATTGATTTTCTAAAGGTTCTAAAAACTTACATTTGAGCTTCTAGTATATAAATGGTTTTTATTTGGGGTCTATATTCGACAAAGCTGAAGCTGTTAAACCTATTGCTTAGATCATGATAATAACTGCCTGGAAATGTTTATTTTCTCTTTCCTGTATCCTATTCTTCATAATCTTTCTTTCTTTCACTTTCAGTGAACGTTTATTGTTTATTGGCTATTTAGCATCCATTCTCTCTTTTATCATCAACAGTCTCCTACTACTTAGGGGGGAATTAATCTTTCCTAATTGTGAAGGACTTTCGAAAGAGAAGACTTTTTAATCATTTTTTTCTCCTCTTCTCTAGCTAAGAGATGGATGTGACCCAGTAAAGTCAGTTGCACTCTCTGTTTTAGATTTTAAATTTTGAACAGTTATACAAGATACAAAAAGGAAAGTAAAGAGACTCAAGTGATATCTGCTGTGAGGTACCTGTTGCTTTTCTTGTTTAAAATCCTGGCTCTATTGCCTTCACACTAATTGTGGTAAATTTACTTTCGGTTTGATTTAATCAGAGGGTGATTTAAGTTGTTTGCATCCAGAGAACCCTAACTGATAGACAAACAAATTATGGTTGAATACCATTCTTTTCTATTTAAAGGGTGAGCATCACCTACAGGCCATCACTAATGCTTAGCCTGGTAAGGAAGGATCCCACTTATTTAGCTACACTCCTCTCTATTCAACGCCACCAGTTTCTTCCTCATCATACCTCTTGACTTCGGCCGTATGGAACTGTAATTCCTCTAACATTGTATGTTGGTTCCCATCTCAGTGAAAGCTACTGTCTATTCCCTCTGTCTCGATTGTAATTCTCATTTCATGCAGCTGATTCAGTCCAACTCGTTCATTAATGCTTGCTTTAAGTTTTGTCGTTCAGGAAGGTACTCCTAACTCAGTTCTCTTCCCTGGCTTGATTTTCCCTGATATAACTCCAATTATCACACAAAGATGCCCAGGCAAGTATAAAACCACGATGTTTAAGGGTCAGGACTCCACAATGACTGATTACATTAAAATCTCATCACTGTCTCCTTCCTCCTTGGCCTTGGGCAGATAAGAACCTCAACATGCCTTAGTGCCTGCCTTATGGTGGTGTTGTGAGTGCTAAATAAGAGATGAGATATATTCAAATCAATAAATGGGATATCATGGGTACTACATATATTGTAGCTATTATTTCAAAATCTGTCTCTATAGTATTTCTATTATATTTTCCCCTTCAAACCTTTTAAACCTAAGCAATACCATCTAGTATCACTATATTTCTCATTTACTTAGTAGTAGCCAATAAAAGATAGTAAAATGAATATATGACTAAGTCTCAACAGAGGTGTGTTTTAACAGTTTATAAGACTCTTTTGGAGTATCCCCTCACTTCTCATATAAAAATTAAAATTGGGATTATTTTATTTAAAACAGCACATAAAGGAATTATTTCCAACTTACTATCCTTCCTAAAGTTACTTCTTACTTTCCTCTACATGCATACAATTGCTTCATAATTATTAAGGGCAATTTTATTGCCTCTTAGTGATTGAAGCTATTAAAAAAAGAAGAACTAACAATGTCTCTATAAATTATTTTTAAGACAAGAAAAATAAATACGAAAAGCATGATTATTATATAGCAAGAGAAGGGAAAACTGGATAAGTGTATGAACATATATTTATAAATATGAAAACAGAAATTATATTTACATAAACCTCATTGACACTCTAGGTTTTTGTGGTAACATATGTGGTTCTTGAACTCTCTTAATTTTTGGAATTTTTTGGTAGTGGACACTGAACTCAGGGCCTTTACAATGAGCTACATCTCTAGCACTCCTTAATTTTTTTTTAATTTTGTGTGAGTCTTGTCATATTGCCCAGGCAGGATTTGAACTTGTGATCCTCCTACATCAGTCCCCCAAGTGCTGAGGTTATAGGTATGTGCCATCACAACCAGATAATTAAGGCATATATTAAATACTAAATCTATAATCCTTTCTGAGTAAGATTAAGTTATTTATGGAAATCTGAGGACTACTGAGTATATCAATTATTCTGTAAATGCAAATCTCATAAACCCATCATGCAGGAGTATGAACTTTCTATTTTAGCATAAAGGAATTTTTACAGGAAGCCATAATGCCAATAGCAGAATAAGCTGTAGATATGGAAAAGGGTTCTCACACTAATATATTATTATGTGATATACAATATTATGGCTTATATCTAGATGTTATGTTGAGCCTCATATGCTCAGGAGTGAGGTTTTGGGGGAGTGACTGGATCACGGTTTGTGATACTAGATATGGCTGTGTGATCCTGGATTAGTTCACTGATTGGTTTAGCATTGTTCTTGGTATAGGTGACGGGTTTACTAAAGAGGAAAGATCCATACTGGGTGTAGGGGAGATCAACCAATAGGATTGTAGACTGGATGGAATAAAAAGGGAAAGAATAAAGTCTTGCTTCTTCCTGCCTGTCATACCATAGACTGTTTCTCCTCTGCAGTATCTCTCTGTTGTGCCATGCTGCATTGGAACCAACAGACTATGGGCTAAAACATCTACAAACTGTGAGCTAAAATAACCCTTCCTCCTTTAATTTGTGAATGTTGGATTTTTCTCACCAGCAATGAGAAAGTAGCTAAGACATACAGAATGCATGGATGCATGGCAAAATTTCCATGAAGTGATACATTTTCAGAATTTTCTGTGGAACCTAATATTAATCACTAACATTTGTTGAATACTCTCATTAAGCAATGGAAAGTAAAAAGCATTTTTCACTTACTACCTAATTTAATCCTCATGGTAACCTATCAGGCAGATGGTATTATTATCTACATTTTATAGACAGATAAAGTCAGGTTCAAGGAGGTTTGAATAATTCATTCTAAGTCACACCTTTAGAAATGGAGCCAAAGTTTGAACTTAGACAATCCAACTGCAAAGTCTATACCATTGACATCAAAACAAAGTTCAACACCCATTCAGGATAAAAACTCTAAGAAAATGGTAATAGATGGTCTTCATCTGAAAGTTTAGTCTGGAAGTATTGTTATAATGACAGAGTGAAAAGGTATCTATTTTTATATACATATTAGCACATTGGAATTTTAAATGCTCAGCTTAACGTCTGATTTAGACAAGGAATGCAAACACACGCATTACTAGATGGTAGCAACATTTATAATTATTACTTGTAGGCATAATAAGTAGTAAGAACATAGAATTAGGACTCAGATTTCAGTTTGAGTCCTTATTCTATTATCTACTAGAAACATAGCATCTAGATGGGTTTCAGTCATTTTTTTTCTCTGAAAAAATGTTGCTACAAATACTTCTTATAAAGGGGTAGTACAAAAATCTTTACATATGCTATGTATATATCTTTATATCCACCATATCCATCAATATATAGTAAATGTTAATGTGTCTTATGCATGCTCTATATCCAGAAAAGAGAACAGAGGTCTAGAGAATGACTTGATCAAAGTTATGCTATGTGCAAATGACAAAGGAATCATTTAATGAAGACCTTCTCAGTCTAGGCTCAGGGTACTTTAAATGTAAAGTTTTTAAAAATATTATAAACTTATCTTTCTTTCAAAAAATGCGCCAGTTCATTGATAAAGAATCCCTCTGTCTGTCTTGCCCCTTGTTTTTTCAAAAGGTAATTCTATAACAGCTAAATATCTTCAGCACATTTCCCTAGTTTTTTTAGAAACTTTTGAAAGCTGTTGTAAGTGAAATGACCTCAGTATATAAAATGTTCCAGATTATCTTTCTTATCCTTTCAGAAATATAAAAGATATATAGTATATTTGTTGTAGCTAGGCAAACCACATTTATATCAATATATTCTTAAGATCCTAGTTCATGCTATAATTTTTCCAATTGGATTTCGATGTGGCTGAAAAATGGAACATTATATTAAAAACATGTTTATTTGACTATGGCATTACACTAATATCAATATTGAGATCTAGAGTATTTTTAAATATCTTTCATTTTTGTTACTTTTCATTTTTATTTATAGCCAACTTTCAATTATCTTTATCATTGGAGGAGGAAAATTGGCAGACATAACTCAGAAGAGTGGATAATAAATGAGTCCTAGATTATTATGTTTCATTCTACAATACACTATGGCTGCAGAGTGCCAAAACAGTTTAAATATAAACAACTCAATTGAGCTAATTATTTGGTATTAAATAGATTTTTAAAATACCAGTTGTTTAGTGAATTTAACTAAGCCTGCTATACATGTAAGGTTATTTCTTTTTTTGCTTGTATTTTCTCTTTTTAATTCACAGCTAATTTGGGAGAGTGCATTAAATTGTATCCTTTTTCATACACAGGTTGAGCAGAATGGAGTGTGTTGTGCTTGTTGATTTAGGGGAAAAGATGTCTAAAACTTTGAAGGGAAATGGTCTAGGAGAGTGAACTGACCAGAAAAATATATACATTTTAAGAAAAGCCTTTGCCAACTTTTATCTTTGGCACCCATACCTTCTGTTTGATGATCATCTCGTTGATGTCTTCAAGATCACCCACCATCACCCTTTGTGATTTTATAACTTGATCAAGCAGAGAAAGCCAATCGGTAAGTTCTGTCCAAGCCCGGTTGAAATCTGCCAGAGCAGGTACCTCCAACAGCAAGGAAGATGGCATTTCTAGTTTGGAGATGGCAGTTTCCTTGGTAACCACAGGTTGTGTCACTAGAGTAACAGTCTGACTAGCAGCTAAAATATTTTTTTTGAAAAAAGAAAAAAAAAAAAAGAAAAAAAAACCGGAAATTAGAAACACAAGCTAAAAAGCTAATTTGGATAACAATAAATCACCTTTAACTGAAGGGCAATGATTTGAGCCAAACAATTATTTATGTTATAAAATCCATTTCTAATACAACACATACATTATAGGAAATTCAGAGACAACCTTTAACATACATTTATCAATTGTTCAAAATGATTTAGTTTGTTCCCATGTTAGGACAGATTACTTAAATAATCCTTCTCAATAATTCTATAGAAAAATAAATTAGTAAACAAAAGTATTCAGATATTTCTAGGTGAATAAGATGTACTTATACTTTCCATAAATAATAAATAAATAATTTTTGAGGAGGGATTTAGAGAAATCAAAATCAATGAAATGTTCTTGTCTCAACTCTGTATTTTGTGCTGGAACAATTAATACTTTCTGTTTTATTCTAGGTTGGTACTGAAGTGACTACTAGTGAAGAGAAACCAAGATACATTGTTTTTTGGAAAATGAGAGCCAGTAAAGATTTTTTTACTTGAATGTGAGACACTGTTTAAAGGTTTTTAAGAAAACTTAATTGTATTAAAACTATAATATAAGGTAGCAGCCCATGATGATGATTAACTTGCTTAAGTTGAAGGTTGTACATTTTTTTAATTCTTGCATGAAATTCATGTATGTTACCTGGAAAAATTCAAGGAAGAAGAATTTGAGGCTAAAAAATTTCTATTATGTTCCATTGTTATGGGCTTTCCACAAATGGAACCCTACACACAAATGAGTTAACATACGGAGTCTCAGAGTGAAAACAGTCTTAGAGTGCATTAGGAATGATGGGACCTTGGTTGTTTCACTTTTCAAAACTTCAGTAAAGGAAAAGCAATAGCATAAATGTCATAGACACAGTTGTGTGGATTCAGTGACTAACAGAAACAACAGAAATGCAGCAGTGCCAAATACAGATCAACATCATCGTCACTGCCACAATATTAGCACAGTGTCTGATACTGGCAGGTATTCAGTAATACTACCTATTACTATTTTATAAATATATGCATAATAAAATACTCTATGAACAAAAAGTGAGAAGCTGGAGATATATGATAGAAATGTCAGATACTGCAGGATATTCAAAGTATTCTGTAGAGCCCCACATAGGCTGATGGGGTCTGAATTTGCTGGTATGTGATGATACTAAATAACACACTGTTGGATTTTCAGAGATGAGTGGTGAAAAGAAACAACAGTTTATCTAGTCCAGTGATGGCAAACGTTTTAGAGCTTTCAATGATATAAACAGCCCACTGAGGCATGTGTTCCATAGGTTCACCACCACTGAATGTACAATAGCTTCATAAGCATAATAAAACCAGGAGATCAGCACCAAAGAAATGCTTGACTGTAATTCAGAAAGAAAGCTTTCTGGGAAAGGTTGAAAAGATACTTCAGTGGGAGACCTCAGACCCATGGTCAAAGGAACTAATCTAAGAACATAAAACAAATGTGTCGCATTGGAGTTTCATTTTCAGGTGACCATATATTAACTCTCATGGCTGTATTACAGTTTGCACTTTAGAGCTGTTTCCTCATTAGAGAAGATGATAAAAAGGGTAGAGAAATTTATTTTGCCTTTCAAACATTCTTAGTGTCTCTCAGTTACACCATGAGTCTCCTACAGATGGAAGAACTAATCTTGAACAAGGCAGAAAGAAAAAAAAGTGCCATATATATGCCAAAAAGTAATGACTAAAAGAAATTTTATACTGAAGAGAAGCCAAAACTTTTTTCTTGAAGCTATTTCAGTACTTTGAGGCTCTTTGTACAAAGAAGGAAACATCATTAGAAGTAGTAATATCATCCTGTTATCTGCTATGTAGGTGGACTGCGCATGGTAGCCAACAAGTTCTAGAAGCATTAGAAGGAGTTCTGTAAGAAGACCTGGATGCCTGCAATGGACGCATGTGTAAAAACACTAAGTAGTTGGCATTATGATCCATTCAAGTAATCTCAGTATGCTGAAAGACTGAGGCAGGAGGATCATAAGATCAAAATTTAGGAAGACCTTGTTTTCAAAATAAAATGAAAAAATGACCAAGGAATATAGCTCAAATTGAATGCCCTGAGTTCATCCACAGCACTAAAGAAACAAAAAAGTCAAAACACAAAAAAATACAACTAAAAAATCACCATAGGAGATTACTGCAGAATACCAGAAAAACAGACTGACTGGAAAATTTTGGAAAATTGTTTCTAAAATAGATGCACAATAAATATCAAGGCAACATAAAACCAAATGGGAAGATTTCAAGGTTATACAAAGTGTCTGAATTTAAAAAAAAAACCCTTATTAAATACTTGACCCTGAGATGAGTGGAAGAACAGATTTATTTTCTTCTCTAGACTTATATCCAACCAACAAAGAAGTACTTAATGAAGTGGAAATGATCATGTCATCTTAAATTTCATTGCAGTGAAGATGAGAATTACTAAACTTCAATGAGCAGACTATACCCTTCTGTAAAGGACTTTGTGTGTGGGGGGGGTTCTTTTCAAAAAGACAGGCCAGAGTTAGACACTCAAAAAAGGAGATGATTCAAGACAATTAAAACATACGGAATGGGTCATTGTGATAATAATGTCACAAAATTCTCCACTGAGCAAAAGGGATAAGTATTAAAAAAGTATTAATTGTGACAGACTGAAAAGTCAACAATGCTGCCATTTCTGTACCAGTTCAGAGTAGCAATCTTAACTATGTAACAGACAGGGCTTTCCTTTCTGGTCTCCTGTCCCTCAATACTCAGTATCTGAACCTATCATTTTGACCTGGTGAGCTTAGGATACAAAAACTACTACACAGAGTTTTCAACAGGTCATTGTGGTATGGCTCTCCAGCTCTTCTTAAGGGTATGAGAAATGGTTTCTCCACCAACTGGTAGGGGCTCTTTTCTTTGTGTCCCATTTAATCTCCTCCCCAAACCAGACTAGCACGGCTGCATATCTACCTCTTGCTTTAGGCTTCCATCTAAAGTTATAAGGTGTTAGCCTTGGGAGTCACTGCTTCAGATATCAACTTCTCTAACCAATGTGGAGACAAAAGGTATTCTTTTCAAGCCCATTAGAGAAAATGCCTCTTCCTTCATGGAGTCCTGAAAGAAAATAATCTTTCTGGGGCCAGGTCATTAACTGTCATTCCTTCCAGAAACAGACATTCATGTCTTTTATGGCAAAAAGTACACTTTTTGCAAGAATTTATATAATTTACCATCCAGATATATAGATACACACATAGTATATACACACACATCTGCGTGAGAGATAGAGAGAGAGAATGTGCATACTTAGATAGTCTGTTAATGATTATAGCATAGCCATACATTCATTAGAATATTTAAATGGCTCTACCAAAAACTGTGGTTTTACATCCATACGTAAACAGACAGATAATCAAGCTCAAAACTGCTAAAATGAATTGCATTTGGCACACTGAAATAGTAGCAGGACTAACAGTAGGAGTAATATACTATTGTAAACCATAGCTTTGCTCAGAGTATTTTGTTAATTAAAAGGTGTTGGCTTTAGGAAGGAACTCTTATTTTTTCAAGTGTTTGAAGAACATTTTTATAGTCTAAAATTTTAATTGGTTTTGGGGGTACATGATTAGTCAGACTAACAGCCTTACTCAGAGCTTTAAAGAAGCTACTAAATCTTTCAGAAAACACAGACACAATGTGTTTGGAATATTTCCTTTGATGTAGTCACACACGATTTTTCTGTAATTCACAGGTCTCCTTTGGTTGATAACAATGCGAGAAGCACATAATCTATTTCTAGCTTTGTTTTATGGATGTATGTAACTTTTATTTTTCTATGTGAAAAGTCAATCCAGTTACAAAATTATGTGACATTTCTCACTTTAACTTTTATATGAAGAAATATCTAAAAAGTGCTGAGTATCACTTTTTCCTCAGCACTACATGTCAACAGAACATAACAATATGCGCAGTCCAATTACATTACACTTTAGTACTGTGATGTATAAAAAGTTTTTTAGCTACTTTTAATAGGTAAAATAACAATAAGCAATATTGGGGAATATTTCTTCTTGAATATTTGAAAGGATGACATGAGGTATAATAAAACATGTAAGAGTTCATGAATACTTAGTATGAAAAGTAGAAATCACATATGGATTCCAAGAAAGAATAATCTATTATATGTAAGTGAGGAAGAACCTCACTTCTTCCCTATAAATATTTGCAGTCTATATGAACAAATGATAGCTAAACGATCATCCAGTTTAGACAACAAAAAATGTCACAATTTATACTCTATATGGAAAAAGTGAAACAAATGTAAACATATAAATTCATTTTTTTTTTGGTCTGGAGCTTTTTGAGACAAGTTTTTGCTATATAGCGCAGGCTGGTCTTGAACTTGTGGTGACTTTCCCACCTCAGCCTCCTGAGGGCTGGTATTATAAGCATATGCCAACACACCTCGCTCATCTGCATTTCTATGTCAAACTAAAGACTAAACAAATTATATAACTCAGTAATCATCACTTATTGACATTTTATCACACTAAGTGCTTATGTTGTACATAGGCAAGGCAAAAAGAACTAGAATGGATGTATTCTTGACAACTAATTGTATTTGTAGATTTTAGGGGAAAATGTTAAATGTGGGTGTCATGGACTTTTAAAACTTTTAGCTGATTATCATGAAACTTTTCTAGATGTCCTACTACATCTGCAAATAATGTCTCAAATACTTCGGGCTTCCAAAGTTATAGTTTGCCATACATAGTACTGAAAAACCATACTTAATATTCTAATTTTGGAGACATGATCATTTGATCTAGCCATAGAGACATATGTAAAAATGAAGTGTATTAGGCTTCCTCCCACACACTGAAATACTCTTACTGGGGAGTATCTCCAACTTGCCTTCACCCAAACATACACCTGTCACTACT